GCTATACGGTAGGAACATGCCAACAAGCATCGTAGCTATACGGTAGGAACATGCCAACAAGCATCGTAGCTATACGGTAGGAACATGTCAGCCCACCCCCCATTACATGAGATGCATGTGCCTGCAAGAACCCTAGTTATACGTTAGGAATATGTCAGCATGCCCCCAGTTACATGAGACACACGTGCCAGCAAGAACTTTATTTATAAGGCAGAAATGTGTCAGCACACCCTCAGTTACATGAGTCACAAACTCTTCAATTTGCTGTCATTAACCTATCCCACATAGAGGTAGCATAAAGAGACGAATGCATAATACGTACGGCTTCACGGATGGCCAGGCATTCACTCAGCGGTCTGGGAGGATGTGGCGAGGCCTTAGACATTCGCTCTAATGTGCTGGACATTCCAGTTATAATTGGATCCGTCTGTACCTCTAGATCCACGCACCTGTAGAAATAAACAAACACAATCAGCAAGGTAAATTAACGCGCTCAAATAAGCCATCACAGGCGGTATATAACACCCACATGCATGTAGATATAAACAACACATTCAATGATGACTGATGGTAAGTATTGTTGCTTGTAATGATGGCAGGACATCATAAATCATTACAAAATTATCTTCTCAGGTATTTATCAAGAGTTGAGAACAACCTTGAGCAATCAGGTAAATTTTAGTCTGTGTCCAATTAAAGTGTAAGCCGTGAAACACCAGCCTATGCCAGTGTATGTGTGGAGATCCGGCATACGGGGAACCCGGTGCAACGTTCTGATGTGTCAGCCTCATAAAAAACACCACAGACCTGTGCAGTAAGGCCCTACTCTCCCAGAATAGAGCCAAAAATAACAACAAAAAAACCATTTCAAGTGCTGCACAGCTGCTATTGCTCCGTACGCGCCACACGGAGTTTTCGGCGAGACACACGGAGTTTTCGGCGAGACTCACCGCCTGTCGTAGGAATCGTACTTCACTTCCTCGCTGTTGTCACTGTCGTCACCGATGATGAACGAAGCCGTGGGTGGGGTCGGGGGACGCGCTAGCTCCCCCACGTCCTTGATCGGGACTGTCTGACCTTCAAGACACAAGATATATGTCGTCAGTCTCACCACGCGCTGTCGCAATACACCGCCACGAGGAACGGTGCATGGTCGCCAAAACGAAGGTCGTGTCACAATGACGCGAAAATATTACACAGCCCTGAGCAGACCGTGAACATCGTGAAACCACTAAAAAAAAATTAAAAAAATACGTAGAAAAAAAAAGAACAAGCGACGGCAAGCTGTGAGACAAACTCACCAGTATCGACCTGATCGATTCTGCCATCTGGCGGTGGTATCGTGATTGTCTGCTGTGAGCTGTCTGGCGGCCTGTCCCCGTCAAACAGCACGTACTTCATCGCTAGTCCCAGCACGAGCCCTAGCAGCAGTAGGTTCTCTGGGCTGAGACACATCCATCTGCAGTGCGGAGATAACGCGTGAGAACTATAGTCAATCGTAAAAACATGTCGTCCCCCACCACCTTCCCCAACCTACTGCCAACGTACGAGATTTCTCTCACGGTCTATCTTTCAGCCTCATCACAACTCACCTGCCCACAGAACAATCCACCTCACCTGCCTATAGCTTAAGCCACCCCACCTGCCTATAGCTTAAGCCACCCCACCTGCCTATAGCTTAAGCCACCGCACCTGCATATAGCTCAAAACTATCCACACACCCATCCACTGCTCAATCAACCCACCCTACTATCTAACCACACAAGCGCCAACCTATCACAATACATCCTCACCCCACCTCACACCACGACCACCAACCCTACTACCATGCAACCCTTGCCCAACTAAACTGCATCACCACACAAGTACCACACTATTCAACACACAACTACCACCGTACCCAACCATCTCACCACACATTCTCCACCCTAAGTGGGAGTGGCTAAAACACGTAAGCTGCACAAAATTTCATGCAGAAGGCTTGATGCAGAAACCTCGACGAAAAATGTCAACAATTTTCTTAGTATCCTCTGCTATAATGCACCTCTACTTATACACGTGTCTATCTATCCACGATCTACTTCTACACATATCTATCCACCCACTATCTACTTCTATACAGATCTATCTACCCACTATCTACCCCTCTATGTCATCTACACAGTGTCTTACCTCGACATGTAGAAGTACCAGAGTGGCGTCTGAGACGACATCTGACTCCCCTTCGCAAAGATGTCAGCGACCGTTGTCTGACTCGAGCTGTCGATGACGGACAGGTTAGACAGACGACTGTGCGTGTGTACCAGCACGAGACCCGCACTCTACGATCAGAAACAGAAATGCACGAGTTACTGAACGGCGCCCGTCTATGGGCTACGACGCGGCATCAGACTTTTTGGGTTGGCACAGAAGGTAGGGTTAGGGTTTAAATGCACATCGATGCAAGTATAGAGAGGTGAGAAGGTAGCCGTGAGAGTTTGAACACTATACGACATAACCGACGACCACACAACGATGGCCTTTATCCTACTACGTCGTACTACTTTATCATACTACTAATACAAGCAGCATTCATATAGTTAGGGCAAAAACTTTAAACTGAATTCTTAGGTTAACCAAACATAATAGGTTCATTTTTCACGAGTGTGTAATTTTAGTTCAACGTAATTTTTACATAAACTCCATCCAAACTTTAGCTTGGTTATCTCTCTAATATCGCGCATCATTACCATGATGATTTTGACGCGCTGTACAACGGGGTTTGGCTTCTCTGCCTCGTCCTCGGCCATGGTCTTCAACGCCAGCTTGTTGAGATGCCACGGTTGTTGTCCTTCCCCAGTCTTCTCAGACAGCTATGTGAATACACACTGAGAGTCATACACACACATAGAGAGAGTCACATACATCAGCTTACAACAGGGAGCGGGGAGGGAAGGTCAAAGGGGAAGGTCAAAGATCAATAAATAAATATAAAATCTATGCCTGTAGAAACCGTCCAAATAACAGAGACGAATAAAACTTTACACAAAACATATATACCTTACCAACTACACTCTAAAATATGAATACCTATTCTAGTTGTGGATTATACATTATATCGTAACAAGATAACAGGTCATTATTACAGACCTTTTCTTGTTATCGAACTACTACAGGCCAATTATCTTGCTCCCGATTACATTTACAACGACCTTGATAAAAGCATTACTATGTAGCCACTAACCTAACTTTCCCCACAACGATGCATGCTGTCACCCTGTAAGCCCCACACCCGCTCATTACAAACACTACGGCTCTTACCTCGAGTGCGAGAGACAGACACGCTGGGAAGAACGTCATGAAGACTATGAAGTTGGCGAGAACAAACAGGCAGCCGAAGCAACACATCACCTCCAGCTGTTTGATGCCTACAAACACAGATAACAACATATCTGCTGTTAGCTATACAGCACAGACAGACAGACAGCTTACTACACAAATGTCACATAATCTGATATCAGATATATAGCATAGATATATATTATTATTTATTATTAATATTATAGACAGCCAGCAACAAACATATTAAATATCTGATATCAGATATATAACACAGACACCACACATGTCTGCAACAAAGATATCAAATATCTAATAACAGATATATAGTGCAGAATTCACACGCAGGTCAGGCACGATGAAATGCATTGTAGTAAAGTAAGGTGGCAACACGTGAAATGTGTCATGAAAGCCAATAACTGAACTCATCGAGCTTAGCAAGAAATCAGTGTTACCAAAGCGTGTCACTATAGCATCACAAACGTGTAACGCCAACGACCGAACTCGTCGCTCGACGAGATATAAAAGTGTCACCCAAGAGGGTTAACGATACGTCACGACCGCGGCACAACACTAATGAGAAAACGCATCGAGTAGCAAGGCAGGGACCTGCCGTACACCACAGTTCAGATCATTAGATGCAATTCACTTTTAGCAAAATTACAAAAATTCTAAATTAATTAAAATTTTATTAAATTTAAATTGTTTTTTTAATTCTGAATTTTTCTTAAGACAGAAATCCGTTCACAGACGGACAGGACAGTTAACAACCATGCTGACAAGAAAACGCATCCAGTGGCACAGCAGCGACCAGCCGCGGACGCTGTGACAGACCGACGGTGGGTCGCCGCGATGGCGACGACGCTGCGACGTACCGGATATGGTTCCGACGCCGATGACCAGGGCTTCAACGAGCGCGTCCAGCGTGATGACCGGCCCGACGACGGCCATGCCGCGTGCGATGTTCTCCTTGACCTCCAGCTGCGGGAAGGTGAATAACGAATTTGAATTTTGAATTTTTTTTCATCTTGAATTTAATTGAATTGAATTAAGGTAAATAGCGCGGTCAGCGTCGTACGCACGCCACGCGGTTCCCAATGCACGGACAACGCTCTCGGAAAATCTACTAACGCTGATATACGAGGTACGGCAGATGGCCCTGTGGTGGTATAGACACTGTGTTAGGATAGAGCATAAACACTAAACAAAGAATGGGCGCACGCACGCACGCACGCACACACACACCTGTGAGGAAGAGATGAGGGCAAACCGTGCCAGTGCACTAGCCTTGCCTAGGTCTATCAGCAGTAGGAAGAATGGCAGTGCCTCACTGTAAACAACAACAACAACAATAAAGATTGATGCTAAGTAACAGTCGGAAGGAGCATTTCACCCGGGCCATACAAGACTCTCCACCCCCTAGAGTCACTGACTCTCTGTGTGGTCATGCCGAAAACTCAGCTTAGATAAAGAAGGAAAAATACAGTTAGGGCTTACGAACAACACCACTGTTAATCTCGTAAGGATCATCACAATTTACTACCATTATTATTACTATTATCATCATCATCAATATTCTTATTTGTTGCCATGTCTGCAATTAAAAATAGCAATTCTTACACAGATCTTTCACACAGAAAAAAGTTTTCACGCAATCATTAAATAATCGATTAACTTGTCAAACGGCCGCCAGGAGTGACGGTCGGACACAGAATGCGTGGATGAAATCCACTCACTTGAGACCAGTGAAGTCACTGTCTACTAGATTCAGCACCGACGTCGCAAACACAAAGCTGGAGAAGACTGTGAATAGTGCAGCAATACCTGCAACAAAAAATATAAAAATATTACTGCGACGGATAGGCACGCCATATATCATCTATCATCACAACTAATCAAGAACCTATGCCACCTATCATCTATCATTGCAACCTACATAAAACCTACACCATCCAGAGAGACATGATACAAGATTGCGTGGCACAGCTTTGCTGTTGATCCTGAGCGCTGCGCACGGATGAGACGTGCAGTTCCGCGTGATATGCGCACGCGACCGCGGGAATGTTCAAGTATGAAGCGCTGTCCGCAGTGGAGACGTGCGCCAAATTCGAGGCCCGACCCACGTCTCCACAGCGGTCAGCGGATGGTCTGTAGTTTTAGAAGATGACAATGATTATATATGGACGATATTCTAGGAATTGGAGATTATAAAACAGTAACAAAAATCGCTCAGTCATGCTCCAGATTAGCTGAATCAAAAAGATTAGAATTTAATATGAACAAAACAAATACAATGGTTATAAAATTCACAAACAAATAAAGGATAGAGAAAGAGACCAAGGCAACCAAGGCAATAGACAACCAAGCCAATAGGCAATCAAAAAATCAAAAAATGCACCAAATATTCATACCTAGAAGATTTAATTAATGATATAGGAGGTTATAACGATATGATAAGAGTCCGAACTGAAAAATGTTGATGATGAGCCGTTTCATGATGAGCGAAATAATATTATTATCATGGGCAGAAGAGCAAAATTATGGAAATCATACTATAGAAGCAAGAGTGAAATTATACGAATGCAGTTTTACCTTCCTTCGTAAATAACAGTGAAACATGGACTAACTTAACTAAGGAAGAATTAAAAATGTTGGAGGATTTCCAAAATGAGTGCCTGCGCAGAATAATAATCACGCAGAAAACGCAGAAAAATCTACGGAAAGGCATTGAAAGATGATGAAAATTCCAAGGAAAGATACGGAGAAATCAGTAAAAATAACATATAGTTTCTATACGTAAATCGTGGTAAATACATCAAAAACGCATTAGTTTATTAAAAATCCCCATATTTACTTATAAAACATCCAAGAGATGGCGCTGTGGCATGTAAACATTGGCTGTATTTTGATGAAAAATGTTCAATGAATGACGCACTCGTTCACTTCCGACAGCGAGTGAAAATGCGGAAAATTTTCCTCTTCGATGCGAAATGCATCGGCCGGGCATTTCATTATTTACGAAAAGTAAATAGGCCGGCGAAAAACGATAGGTACAGGAACCGGTAACGTCGGTCACGCCCCATTCATGCCCATCAACGAAGAAGGCGAGGCTTATTCCGATTACGGAGATGCGAAAATTCAACAGATCGAAGGACGTAGCGCAGTGCGCTAAACAGCGTGTTATTTTCGTTTTTGTGCCAAACTC